TGCGCTAATCACTGCACCACCACTCCCCACACACACACAGTGCGCTAACCACTGCACCACCACTCCCCACACACACACACAGTGCGCTAACCACTGCACCACCACTCCCCACTCACACACAGTGCGCTAACCACTGCACCACCACTCCCCACACACACACAGTGCGCTAACCACTGCACCACCACTCCCCACTCACACACACACAGTGCGCTAACCACTGCACCACCACTCCCCACACACACACACAGTGTGCTAACCACTGCACCACCACTCCCCACACACACACACACATTGCGCTAACCACTGCACCACCACTCCCCACTCACACAGTGCGCTAACCACTGCACCACCACTCCCCACTCACACACACAGTGCGCTAACCACTGCACCACCACTCCCCACTCACACACACACACAGTGCGCTAACCACTGCACCACCACTCCACACACACACAGTGCGCTAACCACTGCACCACCACTCCTCACACACACACACAGTGCGCTAACCACTGCACCACCACTCCCCACACACACACAGTGCGCTAACCACTGCACCACCACTCCCCACACACACACACAGTGTGCTAACCACTGCACCACCACTCCCCACTCACACACAGTGCGCTAACCACTGCACCACCACTCCCCACTCACACACACAGTGCGCTAACCACTGCACCACCACTCCCCACTCACACACAGTGCGCTAACCACTGCACCACCATTCCCCAATCACACAGTGCGCTAACCACTGCACCACCACTCCCCACTCACACACAGTGCGCTAACCACTGCACCACCATTCCCCAATCACACAGTGCGCTAACCACTGCACCACCACTCCCCACAGACACACACACAGTGCGCTAACCACTGCACCACCACTCCCCACACAAACATACACACAGTGCGCTAACCACTGCACCACCACTCCCCACACACACACACAGTGCGCTAACCACTGCACCACCACTCCCCACTCACACAGTGCGCTAACCACTGCACCACCACTCCCCACTCACACACACAGTGCGCTAACCACTGCACCACCACTCCCCACTCACACACACACACAGTGCGCTAACCACTGCACCACCACTCCACACACACACAGTGTGCTAACCACTGCACCACCACTCCTCACACACACACACAGTGCGCTAACCACTGCACCACCACTCCCCACACACACACAGTGCGCTAACCACTGCACCACCACTCCCCACTCACACACAGTGCGCTAACCACTGCACCACCATTCCCCAATCACACAGTGCGCTAACCACTGCACCACCACTCCCCACAGACACACACACAGTGCGCTAACCACTGCACCACCACTCCCCACACAAACATACACACAGTGCGCTAACCACTGCACCACCACTCCCCACTCACACACACAGTGCGCTAACCACTGCACCACCACTCCCCACACACACACACAGTGCGCTAACCACTGCACCACCACTCCCCACACACAGTGCGCTAACCACTGCACCACCACTCCCCACACTCACACACAGTGCGCTAACCACTGCACCACCACTCCCCACTCACACACACAGTGCGCTAACCACTGCACCACCGCTCCCCACTCACACACAGTGCGCTAACCACTGCACCACCACTCCCCACACTCACACACACAGTGCGCTAACCACTGCACCACCACTCCCCACACACACACAGTGCGCTAACCACTGCACCACCACTCCCCACTCACACACACAGTGTGCTAACCACTGCACCACCACTCCCCACACACACACACAGTGCGCTAACCACTGCACCACCACTCCCCACACACACACACACAGTGCGCTAACCACTGCACCACCACTCCCCACACACACACAGTGCGCTAACCACTGCACCACCACTCCCCACACACAGTGCGCTAACTACTGCACCACCACTCACACACACAGTGCGCTAACCACTGCACCACCACTCCCCACACTCACGCACAGTGCGCTAACCACTGCACCACCACTCCCCACACACACACACAGTGCGCTAACCACTGCACCACCACTCCCCACACACACACACAGTGCGCTAACCACTGCACCACCACTCCACACACACACAGTGTGCTAACCACTGCACCACCACTCCTCACACACACACAGTGCGCTAACCACTGCACCACCACTCCCCACACTCACACACACAGTGCGCTAACCACTGCACCACCACTCCACACACACACAGTGTGCTAACCACTGCACCACCACTCCTCACACACACACACAGTGCGCTAACCACTGCACCACCACTCCCCACTCACACACACAGTGCGCTAACCACTGCACCACCACTCCCCACACACACACACACAGTGCGCTAACCACTGCACCACCACTCCCCACTCACACACACACAGTGCGCTAACCACTGCACCACCACTCCCCACACACACACAGTGCGCTAACCACTGCACCACCACTCCCCACACACACACACAGTGCGCTAACCACTGCACCACCACTCCCCACTCACACACAGTGCGTTAACCACTGCACCACCACTCCCCACACACACACAGTGCGCTAACCACTGCACCACCACTCCCCACTCACACACACACAGTGCGCTAACCACTGCACCACCACTCCCCACACACACACACAGTGTGCTAACCACTGCACCACCACTCCCCACACACACACACACAGTGCGCTAACCACTGCACCACCACTCCCCACTCACACAGTGCGCTAACCACTGCACCACCACTCCCCACTCACACACACAGTGCGCTAACCACTGCACCACCACTCCCCACTCACACACACACACAGTGCGCTAACCACTGCACCACCACTCCACACACACACAGTGTGCTAACCACTGCACCACCACTCCTCACACACACACACAGTGTGCTAACCACTGCACCACCACTCCCCACACACACACAGTGCGCTAACCACTGCACCACCACTCCCCACACACACACACAGTGTGCTAACCACTGCACCACCACTCCCCACTCACACACAGTGCGCTAACCACTGCACCACCACTCCCCACTCACACACACAGTGCGCTAACCACTGCACCACCACTCCCCACTCACACACACAGTGCGCTAACCACTGCACCACCACTCCCCACACACACACACAGTGCGCTAACCACTGCACCACCACTCCCCACACACAGTGCGCTAACCACTGCACCACCACTCCCCACACTCACACACAGTGCGCTAACCACTGCACCACCACTCCCCACACACACACACAGTGCGCTAACCACTGCACCACCACTCCCCACACACAGTGCGCTAACCACTGCACCACCACTCCCCACACTCACACACAGTGCGCTAACCACTGCACCACCACTCCCCACTCACACACACAGTGCGCTAACCACTGCACCACCACTCCCCACTCACACACAGTGCGCTAACCACTGCACCACCACTCCCCACACTCACACACACAGTGCGCTAACCACTGCACCACCACTCCCCACACACACACAGTGCGCTAACCACTGCACCACCACTCCCCACTCACACACACAGTGTGCTAACCACTGCACCACCACTCCCCACACACACACACAGTGCGCTAACCACTGCACCACCACTCCCCACACACACACAGTGCGCTAACCACTGCACCACCACTCCCCACACACAGTGCGCTAACCACTGCACCACCACTCACACACACAGTGCGCTAACCACTGCACCACCACTCCCCACACACTCACACACAGTGCGCTAACCACTGCACCACCACTCCCCACACACACACAGTGCGCTAACCACTGCACCACCACTCCCCACACACAGTGCGCTAACTACTGCACCACCACTCACACACACAGTGCGCTAACCACTGCACCACCACTCCCCACACTCACGCACAGTGCGCTAACCACTGCACCACCACTCCCCACACACACACACAGTGCGCTAACCACTGCACCACCACTCCACACACACACAGTGTGCTAACCACTGCACCACCACTCCTCACACACACACAGTGCGCTAACCACTGCACCACCACTCCCCACACACACACAGTGCGCTAACCACTGCACCACCACTCCACACACACACAGTGTGCTAACCACTGCACCACCACTCCTCACACACACACACAGTGCGCTAACCACTGCACCACCACTCCCCACACACACACACAGTGTGCTAACCACTGCACCACCACTCCCCACACTCACACACACAGTGCGCTAACCACTGCACCACCACTCCCCACACACAGTGCGCTAACCACTGCACCACCGCTCCCCATCCTCCACTGTCTCTAACCGGTTTTTAACACCGCCTCGTATCGGTTTAGCTCACCCGTTTTTCCTCTCTCTCCACCCAAGGGTTATTTATAGAGACAGAGAGAGAGAGCGAGTCACAGTGAGTCAGCAAATCTCTTATCTCTCTCTCTGTGTGTCTGTGTGAGTGTCTGTGTGAGTGTACGTGCCCTTACAGCCCTGCTAGAGGCTACCTGGGGGAGCTTTGTCTGTGTGACAGCACTTGCCCCTACAGCCCTGCTAGAGGCTACCTGGGGGAGCTTTGTTTGTGTGACAGTACTTGCCCCTACAGCCCTGCTAGAGGCTACCTGGGGGTAGCTTTGTCTGTGTCTGTGTGTTACAGCACTTGCCCCTACAGCCCTGCTAGAGGCTACCTGGGGTGTCTGTGTCTGTGTAACAGCACTTGCCCCTACAGTCCTGCTAGAGGCTACCTGGGGGTAGCTTTGTCTGTGTCTGTGTGACAGCACTTGCCCCTACAGCCCTGCTAGAGGCTACCTGGGGGAGCTTTGTCTGTGTCTGTGTGTGACAGCACTTGCCCCTACAGCCCTGCTAGAGGCTACCTGGGGGTAGCTTTGGTTGTGTCTGTGTAACAGCACTTGCCCCGAGAGTTTGTTAAGGCTATACGGGGGATCTTTGTCTGTGTGTGTGTGTGTGTCTGTGCTTATTGTGGCTGGCCGTTGGCTGCTGCTGCTCCTGCTATGCAAGTTGTGAGGAGGCTTTGGGCCACTCTGAGCAGGAGTTCAACCATGACGGATAAGGGTGAGTGACTCACTCCCTCACTCATTCATTCATTCATTCACACGGTCACACCACTCATTCATTCACCCACCCACTCATTCATTCATTCACTCGGTCACGCAGTGACTCGCTTATTCAGTCACCCACTAATTCGCTCACCCACTCATTCACTCACTCATTCACTCACGTATTCATCAAATCATTCACACAGTCACTTGGACATTCAGTCATTCAGTCACTCACTCAGCCACTCAGTCACTCATTCATTCTCTCATTCACTCACTCGCCCACTCAGCCACCCACTCACTCACCCACCCACTCAGCCACCCACTCACTCACCCACTCACTCACTCACCCACTCAATCACTCACCCACTCACCCACTCACTCACCCACTCACTCACCAACCCACTCACTCACCCACTCACCCACCCACTCAATCACTCACCAACTCGCATACCCATTCACACGATCACACAGTCACTCGCTCATTCACTCGCCCACCCACTTCCGCACTCATTGACTCACTCATTCACTCATTCATTCACTCGGTCATTCATTCATTCGGTCACACAGTCATTCACTCACTCACCCACTCATTCACCCACTCACTCACCCACTCTCTCACCACTCACTCAACTACTCACTCACCCACTCACCAACACACTCACTCTCTCACCCACCCACTCACTCAACTACTCACTCACCCACTCACCCACTCACTCACCAACCCACTCACCCACTCACTCACCCACTCACTCACTCACCAACCCACTCACTCACCCACTCACTCACCCACTTAGCCACCCACTCACTCACCCACTCAATCACTCACCAACTCGCATACCCATTCACACGGTCACACAGTCACTCACTCATTCACTCACTCACTCACCCACTCGCCCACCCACTTACCCACTCGCCCACCCACTTCCTCACTCATTCACTCACTCATTCACTCGGTCATTCATTCATACGGTCACACAGTCATTCACTCACTCACTCGTTCACCCACTCACTCACCCACTCTCTCACCACTCGCTCAACTGCTCACTCACCAACACACTCACTCTCTCACCCACTCACTCAACTACTCACTCAACTACTCACTCATCCACTCACTCACTCACCCACTCACTCACTCACCCACTCACCGACCCACTCACCCACTCACTCAACTACTCACTCACCCACTCACCAACCCACTCACCAGCCCACTCATTCACCCACTCACTCACTCACTCACCCACTCACCGACCCACTCACCCACTCACACAACTACTCACTCACCCACTCACCAACCCACTCACCAACCCACTCTCTCACCCACTCACTCACCCACTCACCAACCCACTCACTCACCCACTCACTGATGATGGTGATGTTAATGATGTTGTTTATGATGATGCTCTTTGTGATTATGGTGATATTAATGTTGATGTTGGTGATGATGGTGATTATGATGTTGATGATTTTAATGATGATGTTAATGATGATGTTGTTGATGATGCTGTTGTTTATGATGATGGTAATATTAATGTTGATGTTGGTGATGATGATGATGTTGATGATTTTAATGATGATGTTAATGATGATGTTGTTGATGATGTTGTTGATGTTATTGATGCTGTTGTTGATGATGATGTTGTTGTTGGTGTTGTTGATGTTGTTGTTGATGTTGTTGTTAATGTTGTTGTTGATGTTGTTGTTGTTGGTGTTGTTGATGTTGTTGTTGATGTTGTTAATGTTGTTGTTGATGTTGTTGGTGTTGTTGATGTTGTTGTTGATGTTGTTGTTAATGTTGTTGATGATGATGTTGTTGTTGTTGTTGGTGTTGTTGATGTTGTTGATGTTGTTGTTGTTGTTGGTGTTGTTGATGTTGTTGATGTTGTTGATGTTGTTGATGTTGTTGTTGATGTTGTTGATGTTGTTGTTGATGTTGTTGATGATGTTGTTGATGTTGTTGATGTTGTTGTTGATGTTGTTGTTGGTGTTGTTGATGTTGTTGTTGGTGTTGATGATGTTGTTGATGTTGATGTTGTTGATGTTGTTGTTGATGATGTTGTTGATGTTGTTGTTGATGTTGTTGTTGATGTTGTTGATGTTGTTGATGTTGTTGATGTTGTTGTTGATGTTGTTGTTGATGTTGTTGTTGATGTTGTTGATGTTGTTGTTGTTGATGTTGTTGTTGTTGATGTTGTTGTTGATGTTGTTGTTGATTTTGTTGATGTTGTTGATGTTGTTGATGTTGTTGTTGATGTTGTTGTTGTTGACAGTGGTGACGTATGAGGAGCTGGTGTCTCTACTGGATGTTGTTGATGTTGTTGATGTTGTTGTTGATGTTGTTGTTGATGTTGTTGATGTTGTTGATGATGTTGTTGATGTTGTTGATGATGTTGTGGTTGATGTTGTTGATGATGTTGTTGATGTTGTTGTTGATGTTGTTGTTGATGTTGTTGTTGATGTTGTTGTTGATATTGATGATGTTGTTGATGTTGTTGTTGATGTTGTTATTGATGATGTTATTGATGGTGCTGTTGATGTTATTGATGATGTTGTTATTGATGATGTTATTGATGGTGCTGTTGATGTTGTTATTGATGATTTTGTTGATGTTCATGTTGTTGTTATTGATGATGTTGATGATGTTGTTAATGTTGTTGATGTTGACTGGTGATGTACGAGAAGCTGGGGTTTTTACTGGATGATGTTGTTGTTGATGTTGTTGATGTTGTTGTTAATGTTGTTGTTGATGATGTTGTTGTTGATGTTGTTGATGTTGTTGATGTTGTTGTTGATGTTGTTAATGTTGATGTTGTTGATGTTGTTGATGCTGTTGTTGTTGATGTTGTTGTTGATGATGATGTTGTTGATGTTGTTGTTGACAGTGGTAACGTATGAGGAGCTGGTGTCTCTACTGGATGTTGTTGATGTTGTTGATGTTGTTGTTGATGTTGTTGATGTTGTTGATGATGTTGTTGTTGATGTTGTTGATGTTGTTGATGTTGTTGTTGATGTTGTTGTTGTTGATGATGTTGATGATGATTATGTTGATGATGTTGATGTTGTTGTTGTTGACAGTGGTGACGTATGAGGAGCTGGTGTCTCTACTGGATGTTGTTGATGTTGTTGATGTTGTTGTTGATGTTGTTGTTGATGTTGTTGTTGTTGATGTTGATGATGTTGTTGATGTTGTTGTTGATGTTGTTGTTGTTGATGTTGTTGATGTTGTTGTTGGTGTTGTTGATGATGTTGTTGATGTTGTTGTTGATGTTGTTGTTGATGTTGTTGATGATGTTGTTATTGATGTTGTTGATGTTGTTGTTGTTGATGTTGTTGTTGATGTTGTTGACAGTGGTGACATATGAGGAGCTGGTGTCTCTCCTGGATGTTGTTGATGTTGTTGATGATGATTATGTTGATGATTATTATGTTGATGATGTTGTTGATGTTGATGATGATTATGTTGATGTTGTTGATGTTGTTGTTGATGTTGTTGACAGTGGTGACGTATGAGGAGCTGGTGTCTCTACTGGATGTTGTTGTTGATGTTGATGATGTTGATGATGATTATGTTGATGATGATTATGTTGATGTTGATGATGATTATGTTGATGATGTTGATGTTGTTGTTGACAGTGGTGACGTATGAGGAGCTGGTGTCTCTACTGGATGTTGTTGTTGATGTTGATGATGTTGATGATGTTGATGATGATTATGTTGATGATGATTATGTTGATGTTGTTGTTGATGATGTTGTTGTTATTGATGTTGTTGATGTTGATGTTGTTGATGTTGTTGATGTTGTTGTTGATGATGTTGTTGTTGATGTTGTTGATGTTGTTGTTGATGTTGTTGTTGATGTTGTTGTTGTTGATGATGTTGATGATGATTATGTTGATGATGTTGATGTTGTTGTTGTTGACAGTGGTGACGTATGAGGAGCTGGTGTCTCTACTGGATGTTGTTGATGTTGTTGATGTTGTTGTTGATGTTGTTGTTGATGTTGTTGATGTTGATGATGTTGTTGATGTTGTTGTTGATGTTGTTGTTGTTGATGTTGTTGTTGTTGTTGACAGTGGTGACGTATGAGGAGCTGGTGTCTCTACTGGATGTTGTTGATGTTGATGATGATGATGTTGATGATGTTGATGATGTTGATGATGTTGATGTTATTGATGTTGATGTTATTGATGTTGTTGTTGGTGTTGTTGTTGTTGATGTTGTTGACAGTGGTGACATATGAGGAGCTGGTGTCTCTCCTAGATGATGTTGTTGATGTTGTTGATCATGTTGATCATGTTGATGTTGATGTTGTTGTTGACAGTGGTGACGTATGAGGAGCTGGTGTCTCTACTGGATGTTGTTGATGTTGTTGATGTTGTTGTTGATGTTGTTGATGTTGTTGTTGTTGTTGACAGTGGTGACGTATGAGGAGCTGGTGTCTCTACTGGCTGCGGGCTCCATCCGGCTCTTTGACGTGCGGAGTCCAGAGGAGGTGGCAAAGGGGAAAATCTCCACATCGGCCATCAACATTCCTGGTAGCAGCGCACACACACTCACATACACACATATATACACTCTTATATATATACACTCTTATATATATACACTCTTATACACACACACACTCACATATATACACACACACACTCACATACACATATATATACACTCTTATATATATACACTCTTATATATATACACTCTTATATATATACACTTATACACACTCTTATACACACACACACTCACATATATACACACACACTCACATATATACACACACACACACTCACATACACACACATATATACACTCTTATATATATACACTCTTTTATATATATATACACTCTTATATATATACACTTATACACACTCTTATACACACACACACTCACATATATACACACACACTCACATATATACACACACACACACTCACATACACATATATATACACTCTTATATATATACACTCTCATATATACACTTATACACACTCTTATACACCCACACTCACACATATATACACACACACACTCGCATATATACACACTTATACACACTCTTATACACCCACACTCACACATATATACACACACACACTCGCATATATACACACTTATACACACTCTTATACACACACACTCACATATATACACTTATACACACTTATACACACACACACTCACATATATACACTCACACACTCACATATATATACACACTTATACACACTCTTATACACACTCTTATACACCCACACTCACACATATATACACTCTTATATATACACTTATACACACTCTTATACACACACACACTCACATATATACACTTATACACACTCTTATACACACTCTTATACACCCACACTCACACATATATACACTCACACACTCACATATATATACACACTTATACACACTCTTATACACCCACACTCACATATATACACTCACACACTCACATATATATACACACTTATACACACTCTTATACACACACACACTCACATATATACACTTATACACACTCTTATACACACTCTTATACACCCACACTCACACATATATACACTCTTATATATACACTCACATATATACAGTTATACACACTCTTATACACACACACACTCACATATACACACACACACTCACATACACATATATACACTCATATATATACACTCTTATATATACACTTATACACACTCTTATACACACACACTCACATATATACACTCACACACTCACATATATACACATATATACACTCATATATATATACACTTATACACACACACACACTCACATACACATATATACACTCTTATATATATATACACTCTTATATATACACTTATACACACTCTTATACACACACACTCACATATATATACACACACACACTCACATATATATACACACACACACTCACATATATACACTCACACACTCACATATATATACACTTATACACACTCTTATACACACACACACACATATACACTCACATATACACACATACACACATATACACATATACACACTCACACACTCACATATATACACACACACACTCACATATATATACACTCACACACTCACATATATATACACTTATACACACTCTTATACACACACACACATATACACTCACATATACACACATACACACATATACACACACACTCACATATATATACACATACACACTCACATATATACACACACACACTCACATATATATACACTCACACACTCACATATATACACACTTATACACACTCTTATACACACACACATATACACTCACATATACACACACACATATACACATATACACACACACTCACATATATATACACTCACACACTCACATATATACACACACACACTCACACATATATACACTCACACACTCACATATATACACACTTATACACACTCTTATACACACACACACATATACACTCACATATACACACACACACATATACACATATACACACACACTCACATATATATACACATACACACTCACATATATACACTCATATATACACTCTTATACACACACTTATACATACACATATATACACTCTTATACACATATACACACACACTCATATATATACACGCTTATACACACACACTCACACATATATACACTCACATATATACACTCTTATACAACAACAACAACCGCCATTCGCCACTAAGTGGCGGTGACGTCACCACGACGCTTGTGCCAGGCTATGTGCACCTTGAGGCCACGTGAAGTGTCGAACGCCCGCTGGCAGGAGGTCACGGGGCAGACCCAGCAGGTGCCACGGGTCGACTGACTGAGATGACTGAGATGAGTGGCTGATGCACCACCTGTGCCCCCTACTGTGCCAACCTGCTGTGCTTTAGCCACCCGGCGCTCCGCTCGTTGTTCTGAGCATCGCTCCTCCGCCCTCCGTTGTTGTTGGAGGGCGACTGCCTCCAACTGCCCAGTAGCGTCCTTCACGAGCCTCCTCCACAGAGGCCGATCTTGACACCGCTGGTACCGGTCATCGGCAAGTCCACTCAGCTCCACGTCCTCCTGTACCACATCACTCCATCTCTTCTCTAGCCCGTGCCGCGCCCGCTTAGCCCCCTCAATCCGGCCGAACAAAAGCTGTTTCGGCATGCGGTGGCTGGGCATGCGGGCTACATGACCCAGCCATCGCAGCCTTGCCCGCCGGAGGAGCTCACCGATGGGACCCTGCCCAGATCTTTCAAGGATTTGTGAGCTCCTCACACAATCCAGTCTGGTTAAACCCAGGATGGATCGTAGGCAGGCCAGCCTAAATGTTTCCAACCGGCGAAGATGTTCCATTAGGGGGGTCCACGTTTCGCAAGCGTAGAGAAGGGAGGGAATGACCGTGGCCGAGAAGACCTGAAGCTTAGTGTGGAGCGACAGACCAGGTAGCTTCCACACAGCGTTACGCAACCGATGAAAAGATATTGCCGCTCGACTGATTCGGAGTGAGACCTCTGCTGTTAAACTGGAGCCAGTCATACATACACACACACTCACATACACACACACTCACTCACATACACACGCACTCATTCACGTAAACACTCACTCACTTACACACTCACTTACTCACATGCACACACACTCACATACACACTACACACTCACACACTCACTCACGTACACACTCACTCACATACACACACACTCACTCACATACACACTACACACTCACACACTCACTCACATACACACACACTCGCATACACACTACACACACATACACACTACACACACATACACACTACACACACATACACACTACACACACATACACACTACACACACATACACACTACACATACATACACACTCACTCACATACACACGCACTCATTCACGTAAACACTCACTCACGTACACACTCACTCACATACACACACACTCACTCACATACACACTACACACACATACACACACTCACTCGCATACACACACACTCACATACACACGCACTCATTCACGTAAACACTCACGTACACACTCACATACACACTCACTTACTCACATACACACTCACTCACATACACACTACACTCACATATTCTCATTCACATAAACAATCACTCACTCACACTCACTCACACACTCACATACACACTACACACTCACACACTCACTCACATACACACACACTCACATACACACTACACACACATACACACTACACATACATACACACTCACTCACATACACACTACACACACATACACACACACTCACTCACATACACACTACACACACTTACACACTCACTCACATACACACACACTCACATACACACTACACATACATACACACTCACTCACGTACACACTCACTCACTCACGTACACACTCGCTCACATACACACTCACTCACATACACACTCACTCACATACACACGCACTCATTCACGTAAACACTCACATACACACTCACATACACACTCACTTACTCACATACACACTCACTCACATACACACTACACTCACTCACGTACACACTACACATACATACACACTCACTCACATACACACGCACTCATTCACGTAAACACTCACATACACACTCACATACACACTCACTTACTCACATACACACTCACTCACATACACACACACTCACATACACACTACACATACATACACACTCACTCACATACACACTACACACACATACACACACACTCACTCACATACACACTCACTCACATACACACTCACTCACATACACACACACTCACATACACACTCACTCACACACACACTCACTCACATACACACTCGCTCACATACACACTCACTCACACACACACTCACTCACATACACACGCACTCATTCACGTAAACACTCACGTACACACTCACATACACACTCACTTACTCACATACACACACACTCACATAAACACTCACTCACATACACACTACACTCACATACTCTCATTCACATACACACTCACTCACTCACACTCACTCACACACTCACATACACTACACACACACATACACTACACACACACTCACATACACACACACTCACATACACACTACACATACATACACACTCACTCACGTACACACTCACTCACATACTCACACACTCACTCACACACACTACACACACACACTCACACACTCACTCACATACACACTCACATACACACTCGCATACACACACACTCACATACACACTACACACACATACACACTACACATACATACACACTCACTCACACACATACACACACTCACATACACACTACACACACATACACACACTCACATACACACTACACACACATACACACTACACATACATACACACTCACATACACACTCGCATACACTCACATACACACACACTCACATAAACACTCACTCACATACACACTACACTCACATACTCTCATTCACATACACACTCACTCACTCACACTCACTCACACACTCATATCTGTCTTTCTCACCATGTCTCTCTGTCTC